TACCGACACTGTAGTTTGAACATAGATCGCCAGTGAGCAAACAAGTCAATCCCATTATTGAATGTGTGTGATCATAATGAAAACCCATAGCGATCGTTTAGACGTCACGATATTGTCTAAATAGTCTAAACGATCGCTATTTCTAGTCTATTCTATATCACTATACGGATCACTATTTCTCTTCTATTCCCTAGACTATTCACTATACTATTTCTTTAAATGGATCACTATGTGTATTACTATTCCAGCGAGTATTATCGAGAAAGTACTCATAGTGCAAATGCTATTCGAAGGCGTCTGACACCAGTATTATTCAACGGCGTTACTATAGTTGTATCTGCGATTACAAAGTCTCTACCACAACAAATATTACGAAAGTGACAACGAGTATTCGTTGGCATTTCAAAAGTGGCAACGAGTGTTCGTTGACATCAAAACATCGGGTTTCAATGACGTATTTTTGTAACGAGGGTATTGGCGAGAGTCAAAACTATTGCTGGTAATATACTTTAAAAAAAAAATGTATTGCTGGATTTTTTACTATAAAAATCTATTCTTATTCTTTCACAGTGTTTTGATCCAATTTTGGGGTTTAACTATTTTCCCATAGCTGGGACTCTAACAGGTGCTACCATCCCAGGTCAGTGTGGACCTGAAAAAGCAATTAAGAGGTCATTCCACACTCCTCAAAACCTCCTGATCAGAGACCATGCCCGATTGCTTAATCCTTAGTAATCTATGATTAGGAATTTATATTTTGTTTAGTTAAATTTGAAGAAATCACTTCCTTTTAAAATATTAGTTCTGCCTTTTGTAGGGAGATCGATGTACAATGAATTTACGTTGTGTTGTAATGTTGCATTCTTTCAAAATAGCCAAGAATTAGGTAGGTCTGATCAAATTTGCGGTTATTTAAAAAAAAAGCACCATTCATTATTTGGAATGCTTAATCTGAAGTGATACAAAACATGTAAAATAAATTATTCTTTTGACCTTCTTATATGAATAAAGTAATGTATGTAATGGATACATATTCTCAAAGGCATGAAAAATATGAACTAATATTTTGAAAACAAGCTTTGAAAGACATAGAGGTCAACGGAAAAAGCAATATACGAACACTTAATGAAGCAAGGCAGGACACAGACGGAAAGGATACCAGATGGAGCTAAAGATCGGTTGGTGCTCAATAGAAGGGAAATGCAATCGAAGAGAAATAGTCAGCTGCGATATAGGATCATGCAACTAAGAGATGGCAAGGAATGATATAGTGGCGATCGTCATGGTAAGGGGTTAAGAAAAGCCCTTGCTGATCGCTGCTTCTTCTGCTAATTATTTTCAGTGATAGGGCTCCAGGACAAATGGAAAGTAAGAGGTAAGATCTGCCAGGTATCATTCTATCTGCGGATAGACGAAAACATATTGAATCCACTGGTAAAACAAGATCAGCAGGTACAATGAAAATTGCCATATTTCAGAACAGTCCAAGACAGTACATAAAAATAAGTTCATTCAATTTGGCTATTTCTGTGGTTTTATAAATAATTCATGTTTCATCTTGTAATCATGTTACGTGCTGCAAGGCTCGATATAAACATTTGCATCGCAGATTTTTACATGAGAACTAAAAGACGGATACCATTTTGGTGCTGGAGCTATTTTTGCAATTTTAACACGAAGAAATTCCCATGTCATTTCCGAGTTTCGGCTTGATTCATTTTCTACGGCTTATTAACCCTTCGCAAGTCATTTAAAGCTAGAAAACATTTATAGATTCTAAGATTTATTATTTTTTTGTGAAATAATATATTTATAAAACAACTTTTTCTAATTAACCTATAGCTGGCAGGAAGAGACATATTCATACCTTCCTCAATGTTATTTGCAAGTAAATAAATGTATCGAAATCGCTTAGAATTCGAACTTTGCTCTCCGAAGCAGAAAAAAAAGTAGAAAAGAAAGAAAAATATTATTATATTCCCTTGGATTTCTGTTGTATACACATTTTCTTCAAAGAAGTAGATTAATATTTTATGTTGAGAATATTTTTCGTCATCCTATAATTATTATGTTATCATAATCATGTTAAGATTGTACATGCTATGATAATGCTAATCTTTCATGTTGGGAATTATACGTTATCATAATCTCCTGAGAATTATATATGTTATCATAATCTTAATCTTTCAGGTTCAGAGTTATACACGTTATCCTAATCCTATAAAATTATACATGTTAGCATCGTTTTAATATTTGAGATTGAGAAATATACATTATCATAATCCTATGAAAATTACATATCATAATCCTAATCTTTCATGTTGACGTCGTCATAATCCTATGAAAATTATACATCATAATTCTAATCTTTCATGTTGAGAATTATACATTATCATAATCCCATAAAAATTATATATCATAATCCTAATCTTCCATTGTAAGAATTATATGTTGTCACAATCCTATGAAAATTATGCACCATAATCCTAATTGTTCATGTTCAGATTTCCACGAAAATTTATGTTGACTAATACTACATAAATTTGTATGACTTCCGTGATTCATTTGATGAGAGCTTCATGAAAAATCAGCTTTCATAGTCTTAGCGTTTCACTTGAACACCGACTGGTGTCGTGAGCAGGATTAAGTAACTATATGTCCCCAGGCAGACCACTGATTACTTTATTGAAATTCATTTAATTTTGCAATTATTAATATTTAGCAATACTGTAGAGTGACGAAAAGTTCAAAGCTAGTTGATCTTTCTCAAATCTGTATTCTAAAGTCTGATCTCGAATAGAACCTTTTCGTATGAGTTTGAACAAACAGGCAGTCTGGCTATGGCAACAGCAGTGTTTAGTTTTAAATAAACTTAATTTAAAAAATCGGCGAAATTTCTAACTAAATTCTTCGTTTTGGCGTTGTGATCTCATCCTCATTCAAGAAATTCAGGCAGAAATCATCGAACTGGCCATTCTTTATATATCGATTCTGACATTAAAGATGGAAAGAGATAGGTGGCGTTTTCAGCAGATTAGGCGAGTTTAAGAAGGTGGGAAATGCGTCTGAAACGGAAAAGAGATTTGAATAAATCTTGTTTATGAACAAGTTGTTGTGAACGATCAAGCAAGCGCGATATATCTGGAAATTTTGGTTTGCAATAAATACTGAAATAATGATATTTCGCAATTTTTTTTTTATTGATAAAGGTACATATTCTAGTTCATTTACAGAATTTACAATAACTCCAAGGTATGTAAATGTGGCTAAAATATATCAATCAATTATGTACTATGCGTGATACACGCTTAGACGATCATGTCTCTTTCGATACATGACTGACGGGGACAGATTTTTTCCTGCAGTAGGTTGCCATTTCTTTCTGCAGTCGACCAGTTGCCATTCATGACTACAGAATCCTGTCTTGTTATTTAATCATAGCTGGGGAGATAAGAAGAGGATTCATACATTTACCAAGGGTATTAACACGTAACTAAATTTCAGTCAGTTATGTGACACATGCTTAGACGATACATGACTGAATCCCGTAGTAGGTTGCCATTTATTTCTGCGGTAGACCAGTTGCCACCCGAGGCTATATAAACCCGGTTTGTCCTGCTATTTAGCTGGGAGGAGAATAAGAGGATTTATACCTTTCCTAATTCGTAAGTGAATGTAATGTGATTCGACTGGAATTCGAACTCGGATCTCCGATTATCTAGTCCGAGCCTTTATCAATTACTCCATCATGCCTCCTGAAATATATCATGAGTAAAAAATATTCAAAACGGTTGCGGGCATGTTAGAAAGTGGCTGAGAGGGGGCATAATTTCATTGGCCTCAGAAGGTTCTAATCCGAATCTGATTTTTAGTGTGAATCCAAGAGTTGGAGTTAGACATTCTTTCAACTGAAGTAGATATTCTGTTTTGAAGAGGTTTGATTTTTATTTGTTTCTAAACTATCCTAATACTTTACTTAGTTTTTAGAAGACATATTTTGCTATTTCAATGTGCCTTCTGAGTTCCGTGCCACATTTGTCACTGTCTGTTCAAACATTTCTAATTTGAAGTTTGCATCTTTGGCTTTAACTCCTACTAACGACTATGCATTGTCTTCTTAAGAAGAAGAAAAAAAAACAACTTCTGAATATTCCTTTCTTCTTGATTTCCTACTGCTTTTTAATTCGGTTGCACCAAAAATAAAACAACCCGTGCATTAGACAGAAATCGGTTGATATAGATTTACCTCTTTTGCAATCACTATTTACTCTTTTCATTCTCTTTCACAAACATCGCCATTGTTGTGCTAAAGTCCAGGTAGACATGCAAGGAAGAGAAAATGTTTTTAGCACGGAAATTGGAATCAGTTGGCCAATTCAATTTTTCTTTCATTGCATTTCGGCTTTCAGAGTAGAATATATTCAGATCAATATGCATTTTCATTGCCAAATATCCTGATAAAACGATGTCGCGTCATCGGCATACGGTTATGGTTAACAGAGAGAAAAGATTGGTAGCTAACCCCTTTGTGAAAATCACACTGACGAAATGGTAGAAGTAGAATGAAAAGGAAGATGCTGTTACACCTACTGTCAATCCTGATAGGACCGGCGTCATTATATATAACTAGACTACCCATGACCCGTTGGATAATTGACGGTTCAGGTTATAAAACATTGATTTCAACATTACAAAAATTGTCTGTTTAAAGAAAATTGAAATAAAAATTTTTACTGTATAAACATTGTTTTCAAATCTTTTTCACTTAAAGTACATTTTTAAATCAGATTAACTTAAAAATATTTTTAATATGCCAAAAATATTTAAAAATAATATTCACTTGAAAATATGGTAAGACATCCTTTTTTTTAAATATTTAAAATAATGCTTGTTTAAAACTGAAATTATTAAAAAATGAAATATATTAGAAATATGAAGAGAGAAATAGTGAGAGAAGTGGAAAGAGAGAGAGGATGAGAGAGGGAAAAAAGAGAGAGGAATTATGAGAGAGGTGGAAAAGAATTGGAATGGGAGAGTTTTTTTTTTGGAATGTGAGAGAGGGGAAAGAAAGAGAGTTGGAAAAGAGAGAGGAAAAAGATTGAGTTGGAATGAGAGGAGAGAATGGAGAGAGTTGAAAAATGTGAGAGAGGTGGAAAGAGAGAATTGGAATGGCAAAAGAGAGATGGAAAGAGAGAATTGAAATTTGAGAGATTAGAAAGAGAGAGAGAAAATGTGAGAGAGTTGGAAAAAGAGAATTGATACATGAGAGAGGAGGAAAAGAGAGAGATTGGAATGAGATTTTGGAGAGAATTGAAAAGAGAGAGTTGGAAAAAGAGAGAGTTGGAATTAGAGAGTTTTGGAAAGAAAATGGGAATGTGAGAGAGAAAGGAAAGAGAGAAGAGAGAATGTGAGAGAGAAATGGAAAGAGAGAATTGAAATGAGAAGAGAGAAATAAAAAAGAGAGAATTGAAAAGAGAGAGAATGGAAAAGAGAGTTGAAAAAAGAGAGGTGGAGAAAAAAAAAAGTGAGAGAGATGGAAAAGAGAAGAAATGTGAGAGAGGTGGAAAGAGAGAATTGAAAAAGAGAGAGATTGGAAAAGTAAAAGATAAAAATAAAAAAAAGAGAGAAAAAAGAGAGAATTGAAATGTGATTTGGAAAAAGAGTTGGAAAGTGAGAAAGGAGGAAAAAGAGAGATTGGAATGTGAGAATGGAGGAAAGAAAGAGTGGAATGGAAAGAGAGAAAAGGTTAAAAAGAGAGAGGTGGAAAGAGAGAGGTGGAAAAGAGAGGTGGAAAGAGAGAATTGAAAAAATAAGAGAGATGGAAAGAAAAAGAATTGGAAATGTGAGAAGATGGAATTTTGGAAAGAGAGAAGGTGGAAAGAGAGAGAAAGAAAGAAATGTGAAAGAGATGTGGAAAGAAAGAGGGAAAAGAGAGAGGTGGAAAGAAGTGGAAGGTGGAAAAGAAAGGGAAAGAAAGAGAGAATTGGAAATATGAAAAGAGAAGGTGGAAAGAGAGAAAGAGGTGAAAAGAGAGAAATGGAAAGAAAAAGAAAGGTGGAAAGAGAGAAAGGTGGAAAGAAGAGATGGGAGAAGAAAGATGGAAAGAGAAATGGAAAGAGAGAGGTGGAAAGAGAAAGGTGGAAAAAGAGAGAAAGAGAGGAGGAAAAGAAGGAGGTGGAAAAAGAGAGAGGTGGAAAGAGAGAGAAAAGAGAGAAAGGAGAGAGAGAGGATGGAAAAGAGAGAGAGAAAAAAGAAAGAGAATTGGAGAGAGAGAGGAGGAAAGAGAGAGGTGAAAAGAGAGAGAAAGGAGGAAAGAGAAAGAGAGAGAGGTGGAAAGAGAGAGAGGTGGAAAAGAGAAAGAGATGAAAAGAGAGAGAGGTGGAAAGAGAGAGGTAGAAAGAGAGAGAGAGGGGAAAAAAGAGAGAAGGATGAGAGAGAGAGAGGTGGAAAGAGAGAGAGGTGGAAAAGAGAGAGAGTGGAAAGAGAGAGAGGTGGAAAGAGAGAGGTGGAAAAAGGAGAGAGATGGAAAAGAGAGAGAGGTGGAAAGGAAAGAGAGAGGTGGAAAAATTGAAAGTTGAATGGGAGAGAGAGAGAGAGGATGGAAAAAGATTGAAGGTGGAAGAGAGAGAGAGAGAGAGAAAAAGATTGGAAAGAGAGAGATGGAAAAGAGAGAAGAGGTGGAAAAAGAGAGAGGTGGGAAAGAGAGAATTGGAAAGAGAGAGAGGTGGAAAGAAAAGGTGAGAAGAGAGGAAGAAAGAGGTGGAGTGGAAAAGAGAGAGAGGAAAGAGAGAGAGGTGGAAAAGAAAGAAAGGTGAGAAGAGAGAGATGGGAAAAAAGAGAGAGGTGAAAAAGAGAGAGAGAGGTGGAAAGAGAGAGAGGTGGAAAGAGAGAGAGAGGTGAAAAGAAGAGAGGTGGAAAAGAGAAGGGAGAGAAAGGGAGAGGTGAGAAAGTGGAAAGAGAGAGAGGTGGAAAGAGAAAGAGGTGGAAAGAGAGAAATGGAGAGGAGAGAGAGGTGGAAAGAGAGAGAATTGGAAAGAGAGAGAGAGGTGGAAAAGGAGAGAGGTGGAAAGAGAGAGAGGTGGAAAGAGAGGAGAGAAAAGAGAAAGGTGGAAAGAGAGAGAGGTGGAAAGAGAGAGGAAAGAGAGAGAGAGGTGGAAAAGAGAGAAAAAGAGGAAGGAAAGAGAGAGAGGAGAGAGAGAGATGGAGAGGAGGAAGAAAGAGAGAGAGTAAAGAAAGAGAGAATTGAAAAGAGAGAGGTGGAAAGAAGAGAAAGAAAGAGAGAGAGAGGTGGAAAAGAGAGGTGGAAGAGAAAGAGAGAGGAGAGAGAGAGAGAAAGGAGAAAGGAAAAGAAAGAGAGGTGGAAAGAGAGAGAAATGGAAAGGAAGAAAGAGAGAGGTGGAAAGAGAGAGAGGGGAGAGAGAGATGGGAAAATAGGAGAGGTGAGAAAAGAAGAGTGGAGAGAGATTGGAAAGAGAGAGTGGAAAGAAGAGGTGGAAAGAGAGAGAGATGAGGAAAGAGACTGGAGAGAGAGAGGAAAGAAGAGAGAGGTGGAAAGAGAGGAGGTGGAAAGAGAGAGTGGAAAGAGAGAGGTGGAAAGAGAGAGGTGGAAAGAGAGAGAGAGAGAGGAAAGAGAGAGGTGGAAAGAGAGAGGGAAGAGAGATTTTTGGAAAGAGAAAGAGAGAGGTGGAGAGAGAGAGAGAGAAAAGAGAGAGAGAGATGGAGAGAGAGAAAAAAAGAGAGAGGAGGGAAAAGAGAGAGGTGGAAAAGAAGAGAGAAGAAAGAGAGATTTGGAAAAGAAAGAGAGGTGGAAAGAGAGAGGTGGAGGTGGAAAAGAAGAGAAAGAGGGAAAGAGAAAGAGAGAAGAGGAGAAAAGAGAGATGGAAAAAGAGAAGAGAGTGGAAAAAGAGAGAGAGGAGGAGGAAAGAGAGAGGTGGAAAGAGAGAGAAGAAAGGAAGAGAGAGAGTGGAAAGGTGGAAAAGAGAGGTGGAAAGAGAAGAAATTGGAAAGAGAGAGAGAGGTGGAAAGAGAGAATGAAAAAGAGAGAGGTGGAAAGAGAGAGAGGTGGAAAGAGAGAGGTGGAAAAGAGAGTGTGGAAAGAGAGGTGGAAAGAAAGAGGAAGGAAAGAGAGAGAGAGAGGTGGAAAGAGAGAGAGGTGGAAGAAGAGAGGGTGGAAAGAGAGAGGAGGAAAGAGAGAGAGGAAGAAAAGAGAGAGGAAAGAGAGAGAGAGAGAAAGGGGAGAGGAGAAAGAGAGATGGAAAGAGGAGAGAAAGAGAATGGAAAGAGAAAGAGAGGAGAGAGAGAGATGGAGAGAGAGAAAGGTGAGTGGAAGAGAGAGAGGTGGAAAAGAGAGAGAGGTGGAAAGAGAGAAAAAGAGGTGGAAAGAGAGAGAGAGAAAAGAGAGGTGGAAAGGAGAGAGAGAGAGAGAAAGGAAAGGAAAAAGAGTTTGGAGAGAAAGAAAGAGAGAGAGGTGGAAAGAGAGGTGGAAAGAGAGAAGTGGAAAGAGAGAGAGGTGGAAAGAGAGAGAAAGAAAGAGAGAGAGAGAAAGAAAAGAGAGAGGTGAAAAGAGAGAGAGGTGGAAAGAGAGAGAGGTGGAAGAGAAAGGAGAAAGGTGGAAAAGAGAGTGGAGAGAGAGAGAGAGGAAAGAGAGAGAGGTGGAAGAAAGAGAGAGTGGAAAAGAGAGAGAGAGAGAGAAAAAGAGAGAGGTGGTGAAAGAAGAAAAGAAAGAAAGAGAGAGAGTGGAAGAGAGAGAGAGAGAGAAAGAGAGAGAGGGAAAGAAGAAGAAAGGAAAGAAAGAGTGGAAAAGAGAGAGTGGAAAGAGAGAGAGAGGTGGAAAGAGAGAGGTGGAAAAAAGAGAGAAGGTGGAAAAGAAGAGAGAGGTGGAAAGAGAGAGAAAGAGAAAAGAGAGAGAGGAAAGAGAGAAAGAGAGGAAAAGAGAGGAGAAAGAGAGAGGGAAAAGAAAGAAGTGGAAAAGAAAAAGAGAGAGAAAGAGAAAGAAAGAGAGAGGTGGAAAGAGAGATGAAAAGAGAGAGAAAGAGAGAGAGAGAGAAGATGGAGAAAGAAAGGTGGAAGAGAGAGAGAAAGAGAGAGAGAAGAGAGAGAGAGGAGAAAGAGAAGAGAGAGTGGAAAGAGAGAGAGAGGTGGAAAAGAGAGGTGGAAAGAGAAGAGAGGTGGAAAAAGAGAGAGAAAAGAGAGAGAAAGAGAAAGAGAAAAGAGAGAAAGAGAGAGAGGTGGAAAGAGAGAGAGGTGGAAAGAGAGAGGGGAAGAGAGAGAGGTGGAAAGAGAGAGGAAAAGAGAGAGAGAGAGAAGAGAAAGAGAGAGGTGAAAAGAGAGAGGAGATGGAGTGGAAGAAAGAGGTGGAAAGAGAGAAAGAGAGAAAGAGGAGAGAAAGAGAGAGGAAAAAAAGAGAAAAAAGAGAAAAGAGAGGAAAGAAAAGATGGAAGAAGAGAGAAAGAGAGAGAGAGAGGAAAGAGAGAGGTGGAAAGAGAGAGAGAGATGGAAAGAGAGAGAGGTGGAAAGAGAGAGGTGGAAAAAGAGAAAGTGGAAAGAGAGAGTGGAAAAGAGAAAGAGAGAAGAGAAAGTGAGAGAGAGAGAGGGAGAGAGAGAGAGTTGGAAAAAGAAAGAGAGAAAGAGAGAAGAGGAAAGGAGAGAGAGGTGGAAAGAGAGAGAGAATGGAGAGAGAGAGAAAGAGAGAGAGTGAAAAGAGAGAGAGGGAAAGAGAGAGAAGAGAAATGGAAGAGAGAGGTGGAAAGAGAGAGAAAGAAAAAGAGAGAGAAGAGAAGGAAAGAGAGAGAGAGGTGGAAAGAAAGAGAGGTGGAAAGAGAGAGAGGGTGGAAAAGAGAGAGGTGGAAAGAGAGAGGAAGAAAGAGAGAAAGGAGAGAAGAGAGAGGTGGAAAAAAAAGAGATGGAAAAAGAGAGAGAGGTGGAAAGAGAGAGGTGGAAAGAGAGATGGAAAGAGAGAGAGGTGGAAAGAGAGAGGTGGAAAAAGAGAGAGTGGAAAAAAGAGAGAGGTGGAAAAAGAGAGAGGTGGAGAAAGAGAGAGGTGGAAAGAGAGAGGAGAAAGAGAGAAAGAGAGAGAGAGAGAAAAGAGAAAGAAAGAGAGAGAGAAAAAGGAGGTGGAAAAGAAAGAGAGAAAGAAAAGAGAGAGGTGGAAAAGGAGAGAGAGAAAAGAGAAAGAGAGAGGAAAAAGAGAGAGAGGTGGAAGAGAAAGAGTGAAAAGAGAGAGAGAGGGAAAGAGAGAGTGGAAAGAGAAAGAAAGAAAGAAGAGAGAGAAAGTGGAAAGAAAGAGAGAGATTGAAAAGAGAGAGGTGGAAAAAGAAGAGAGAGATGAGAAAGAGAGAGGGAAAGAGAGAGAGGTGGAAAGAGAGAGGTGGAAAAGGAAAGAAAGAAATGAGAAAGAGAGAGGGAAAGAAAGAGAGAGAAAGAGAGAGGTGGAAAAGAGAGAAAGAAAAAGAGGAAAGAGAGAGTGGAAAGAGAGAGAGAGAAGGAAAGAGAGAGAGAGGTGGAGAGAGGAAAGAAGAAAAGAATTGGAAAGAGAGAGGTGGAAAGAGAGAGGGAAAAAGAGAGAGGTGGAAAGAGAAAGAGGTGGAAAGAGAGAGTGGAAAGAGAGAGAGAAAGAGAGAAAGGAGAGAAAGAGAGAGAAAGAGAAGGTGGAAAGAGGAGGGAAAGAAGAGAGAGGTGGAAAAGAGAGAGAGAGGAAAGAGAGAGAGAGAAAAGAAAGAGAGAGATGGGAAAAGAGAAAGATTGAAAGAGAGAGAGAGGTGGAAAGAGAGAGGTGGAAAGAGAGAGAGAGTTGGAAACGGAGAGAGAGTGAGAAAAGCTAGAGAGGTGGAAAGAAAAAAGAAGGAAAAGAGAGGGGAAAGAAGAGAGAAAAGAAAGAGAATTGAAAAGAGAGAGAGGTGGAAAGAAAGAGAGGAAATGGAGAAAGAGAAGAGGAGGTGAGAAAGAGAGAAAGAGAAAAAGAAAGAGAGAGAGAGGTGGAGAGAAGAGAGTGAAAAGAGAGAGAGGTGGAAGAGAGATGGAAAGAAAAGAGGGTGGAGAAAGAGAGAGGAAAGAGAAAGAGAGAGTGGAAAAGAGAGAGGTGGAAAGAGAGAGAAAGAGGTGGAAAAAGAGAAAGAGATGGAAAGAAAGAGAGAGGTGAAAGAGAGAGGTGGAAAGAGAGAGAGTGGAAAGGAGAGAAAGTGGAAAAGAGAGGTGGTGGAAGAATGGAAAGAGAAAAGAAAGAGAGAGAGAAATTGAAGGAGAAAGGTGGAAAAGAGAGGTGAAAGGTGGAGAAAGAAAAAAAGAGAGGGTAAAAAGAGAGAGAGGTGGAAAAGAGAGAGGTGGAAAAGAAAGAGAGGAAAGAGAGAGAGAAATGAAAGAGAGAGGTGGAAAGAGAGGTGGAAAGAGAAAGAGGTGGAAAGAGAAGAGAGGTGGAAAAGAAAGGCAGAAAGGTGGAAAGAAAGAGAGAGAGGTGGAAAGAAGAGAGGTGGAAAGAAGAGAGGTGGAAAAGAGAGAGAAAGAAGAGGTGGAAAGGAAAGAAGGTGGAGAGAAGAGAAAGGAGAAAAGAGAGAGAGGTGGAAAGAGAGAGTGGAAAGAGAGAGAGGTGGAAAGAGAGAGGTGAAAGGTGGAAAAAAGGAAGAGGTGGAAAGAGAGAATTGGAAAAGAGAGAGGTGGAAAGAGAGAATTGGAAAAGAGAGAGGTGGAAAAGAGGAAAGGTGGAAAAGAGAGAGAGGTGGAAAGAGAGAGGTGGAAAGAAAGAGAGAGAAGGTGGAAAAGAGAGAATTGGAAAGAGAGAGGTGGAAAGAGAGAAGGTGAATGTGAGAGAGATGGAAAGAGAGAATTGAAATGTGAGACAGATGGAAAGAGAATTGAAATGTGAGAGAGGTGGTGGAAAGAGAGAATTGGAAAGGTGAGAGAAGTGGAAAAGAGAATTGGAATGTGAGAGAGATGGAAAGAGAATTGAAGAGTGAGAGAGGTGGAAAGAGAGAATTGAAATGTGAGAGATGTGGAAAGAGATAATTGAAATGTGAGAGAGGTGGAAAGAGAGAATTGGAATGTGAGAGAGGTGGAAAGAGAGAATTGAAATGTGAGAGAGGTGGAAAGAGAATTGAAATGTGAGAGAGGTGGAAAGAGAGAATTGGAATGTGAGAGAGATGGAAAGAGAGAATTGAAATGTGAGAGAGGTGGAAAGAGAGAATTGGAATGTGAGAGAGGTGGAAAGAGAGAATTGGAATGTGAGAGAGGTGGAAAGAGAGAATTGGAATGTGAGAGAGATGGAAAGAAACTTCAATCATTATGCGGCATACATACACACAATTCGTAGACTTTTAGTATTATATTGATAGACAGAGGCATTCTGAAATATTAGGTGACAGTAGTAATATTTATTTTATGTCTTCCTGTTCCGCCCGGTATAGTTTTCTTTGTTATACGTTTTCGGACCATCTGTTATTTTTCAGGTAACTGTCATATCGTAGCGGAATTCTGAAGCGAACACTTTATTCAATCCACCGTTATCGTTTATTTTCGTTTTATTTTCCGTTGATCATTTACTTTTTATATTATCTGTTCGCCTTTATGTCAATTTTAAGCGATCTGAGAGCTTTTGAAGAAGAAAGAAAAAAACGCTTAAAATTCTCTCACCTGGATAGAGATATTAGGTTTAAGCTTCCAAAATTATGACACTAATATCTCCAAGAGACGCACGACCTCATGAATTAAAAATATTTAGTTTCCTGGCAGCTGTGAGTTAAATTCCCAAGTTGGGAAATATAGGTTAACAATAATATACTCTCCTTTTGTTAAGCAAACTGACAAGAGACATAAAATTGAACAAACAAGCGAGAATAAGATGATATAATATCTGCTGAGCTACGAAAGGGTAATGGGAATAAGCTATCTCCTAGATTTTATAAAGAGTTCAGTCAATACCCTAGCCACTCACTGGAGAACAATCCAATAGAAAATATATGGAAAAAGTTAAAGTATTGAGTATACGCAAGAGATCAAAAAATATCAAGGAATTGAAGAAAGTCTGTGAAGAAGAATGGTTGAACTGCCAAAATCTCCAAGAAGCTCGCTGAAAACTAGGAAAACAACTCGATACTGTAAGGCAGGACAGAGGATATGCTACTAAATATTAACAAATCGTGTTAAATACTTTTGTACACAGTCAAGTTTAAAAATTGGCAATAAAAGTACATAAATACAATGTTTCTCGATTTTTCTTTATGTTTAGTTAGACAATGTTCATTAAAATAGCTGAAGTAAGTATCATTCAAATTGAATAATTTTTTTGTGAAATTTATAAAAAAAAATATATTAAATATTTTTGCTGCACACTTTATATTTTTAAAATGATAATAATAGAAATGAATAAATAAGAAAGAATAAAACTATAAAATGATCATAGCTCAGGAATCAGGGTTGCACATTGGAGATCTGAGGACAGCAATACAGGTACTAACATTGTGGGAAGAGATAGTCAATGGAGTTCCGACCAACCATAGGGAGGCCGAAAGATGATGGTGATGAGGTTCTCTATCAATAGTCAGGAATCTGCACGTGGGCGGCTTAAGACTTTTTTGAACGTCGCTGATTTTGTTTACCGAATATCAACGTGCTTCGGCGGAGACTTAGTGTCTGAGCAGCCCTACCCAGGGATGAATACGGCTCACCCATTAATTTGGTAAGGGTCTAGAAAAGGTAACATAATCAATGTCTGTTTTTTATATAGCTGTTCGACATCCTGCGGTTGACGATTTTCCTTTTATGGCAAGAGAGAAACAAGGAATTACAAAAGAAAATAAGTATCGTAATCTAAAGACCAGTTTTTTTTTTAATGTTCATACAATTCTTGATCGTAAATTGTCAGATAGACCATAACGTCATACTAAAGTCGTTGCTAAGGAGCCTATATAAGTACACACATATCTAACACTGTATGTTGGAGTAAAGAGTTCGTCATCAAATATACCACCTGTTTTATTATATATATTTTAAAAATAATAATAATAGAAATAAATAAATAATTAAAAGGAATAACAGCATAAAATAATCATAACTCAGGACGCAAGGTTGGACATTGGGGATCTTGGGACAGCAATACAAGAACGAACAGTTTGGGAAGAGATTGTCAATGGAGTTCCGACCAACCATAGGAAGGTCTAAAGATGATGATGATTAGGTTCTCTATCCTCAATCTATATTTAAACAACAAAACATCAGACTTTCCTTTTGGATGTCTGAAAGCAAATCTGAGTCAGATCTGTTACTGCAAGCTCAATATATGAAAAAAAAAACATACACATTTTATGGCACTATGTCATCTTTCTTAGAAATTTTGAGTGTGTCCAAGATACCCGTCCAGATTGATTCCTGATGACAGTTTCATTGGTAAGGTTTTGATAAAGAGATAGGGACTTTTCAGCAACTCGCTCATATATGCAAGTCCATCTGAAGGTATATTTTCATCAGCTCTTTTCATCGTTCGATGAACTCTGAGAAGCTCCTTTGATATCTTCAATGTGGATATTCCCTCATTGAATGACTTTGTTAATTTAGACTTTTCAGCACTTGTTAGATCTTTTCCATTATCAATGTTTCAACATATATTATGGAAAAAAGAAAAAAAATATTTACATTATTTATATACCACATGTTTTATTATATATATTTTTAAAATGATAATAATACAAATAAATAAGAAAGGAATAACAGTATAAAATTATCATAGCTCAGGACTCAGGGTTGGATATTGGGGATCTGAGGACAGCAATGCAGGACCGAAGTGATATTGTTTGTCATTTGGTCCAGTTATTTGAGATTCTGTAGCGCCAGCCCACAAGGTTCTAAAAAGGATAAGTCCTGCAAATCTTGTTCGCTCGAAGCCATTTTTAACCATTGGTCTGAGACAACGGTTGTATACAGTTGATTGTTTAGGCATTTCTCGACGGGTTCGGTGCCATCTATAACATCCATAGTTCTTTCAGTAGCCGATACAAAATGTGGGACGCCAAACCTACATCCGGGTGTTGTTGTCGAGACACCATCTCTAAAAAGACTGCCACCAAAGGCTAAAGAGGTCTTTCAAGCCATAAAGTAAATTATCCCGCGCTAAACACTAAATTGGGATTTGAATTTCCGGAGTGTCTTAGAGACTCCAGCCCCGGATTTGTCTTCGGCTACACGAACGAAAGAAAGAAAAAAAAATTAGTACTGTGAGAGATTTACTCGCTAAATACCAGTCTGTTTTAAATGGAAATTATATTGTTCGGAATATGTTGAAACTTCAGCCAAGATTACGTTTTTTTTTTGAGAATCAGAAAAACGTAAGCTTGGACGAAGTTTCTGTTTTTTTAAAATGTTATCCTATTATTATATATATATATATATAGGCACATGTCCGAGTGGTTAGGACTTCCACCTCCTGACCATGAAACAATGGTCGATTTTTCAGGAAGGTGACTTCTTAATGTTATCGGGAGGTGGTGATCCCAGCATAAGGCAACTTTGGGAAGTACCTGAAAACCAAGTGAAATTAGGCATACCGAACCATTGGGATCACGAAGTCACAAATCATCGTGACCTAGGGTTTGAGCGTACATGCCTTGTTCAGACTGTTTATCACGCAAGGTAACGCGCTCTCTTTCCCCACCAAAAAACTGTAACTAAGGTCTGCTCAGCATAGTCGCAGTATAAACCACAAGTGAGATTCGTGGGTGTTGAACAAACACAAATATACCCGATAATATATACAAGGTAACCCGGATATAAGAGAGTTGTCGGGACCGGAGAAGAAGTCTATTATATCCGGGTTTCTCTTATATCCGGGTTTGGTCTATTTTGTTTAGGTAAGTATGGGAACACTTTGGGACTAGATAAAATCTCTCTTATATCCGGGTTTCTCTTATATCCGGGTTACACTGTATATTGAAATAATTTAGAAATCCATATTTAAATTCCTTTACGCATAAGAGTAATGGTAAAAACGAATTTGCATCTTTTTTATTAAAAATTATTTTAAAAAAGAAAATTTGTTTTTTAATTCAATTCCAAGATTGTTTTCAGTTTTACTTTTTTATGAGCAAAACTGGCTTGTGGTAATTGATGCCAAAAATATGAGGCATCGTGAGGGATCAAGCATTGTTTAGTGCTATACAGAATAGTAATTACTAGATAGCTATTACTGAAGAACTACATTCTGAAAGACGCGACTTATAAAAGAAGAAGATTTATCGGCAACTAAATATGGCAATGTTTAAACGGCTGTTATAACAATGGGGCAAATAATGATGTCTACAACGTCGATGAAAGTTTTGCGGCATCTGCCATTTTAAAGATAAGTAAATGAAAAGATGTTATTCATTTCAGTTTTCCCGCGCTCACTGACGTGTGTTGAAAGATATGAAATTTCCATTGAATTAAGTTTGTTCCTATGAGGAATGACATTAGAAATAACGCAAATATTTAAACAGATCTTTCTTTCTGTCACTCTTTTGACATGTCGTAGGCGATAACATTATAACTAATACAATAGAAAATGTTTCTGAGTGTTAAAGAAATAGTTGTGACGTTTACAAAAAGCACAAAAAAAGAAGGAAATATGCTTCACTTAAGTTCTTTGCCTGAAAAATTATTTGAATGGATGGCCATTGGGAACAAACAAAACCTTACTGTAGTTGATTGGGTTCGTGGCTATTTCTAACAAGACAACGCGACGTGTCACAAAAAAAAAAAAAAAATAGTAGAAATAATAGTATCGGAAGCCACTGTGTGATCCGTGCAGGGAATATAGCTGGTCACTCGTATTCGATGACACCCGTCTACTAGGTCGACTAGCCAATCCCTATTGTAGACGCTTGCTCAGGCGCATTTGTGTTTATTCAACAACCACAGAGCCTATACTGCATTTATGCTGAGCAAAACTTAGTTACAGTTTCTGGGAAAGAGCGTGTTATCTAGCGTGAACACTTTGAATAAAGTCAGCAAGCTCAGGCCCTCGGCCACGGTGACTTCGGTCTAGCATAGATATCGATGCCCCAACCCCCCTGCAGAGTTACGTCTACTCACAAGGCTTGGTATGGTTACCATACCCGTGGTATGGTTTTCAGGCACGCTTGTATCGACACCTGACAAATCGACCATTGTGAGATTTGAACTCCGGTCTAATGGTTACAATGCTAACCTTCTAACCACTCGGCCATAAGGTCGACAGTACGACAGTATAGAATACATATATTTTATGGTGTATATATTTTTGAAAATAACAACAGAATTCATTAATTTTTTTTTA